ACCATAATCAAAACGTCAAACTTATTTATTTCAACATAACAATATTTCTACAAATTTGTTTTCAAACATTTTGTTTTTGCAGATATATAGATATAATATAGTTTTAATATGTAATGTACATTAAACTGTCAAACACATTTCACTAAAACATGTTCCTTGGCTATGCAAACGCTTTTTGATACATTGACAGAAAACAGTGTTTAAAACATGTTTTTTTGTGAAAATCGCGTCAGTGCAAACGCACGGTCAAAGGATACAATAAAGTACAGATAACATTGAATGATTGAATTAAAAACTGTTATTCTTTATGAGTTCGGGTACATTCAACTAATTGTAAATAATTTTACAAATCTTAATAAAACAGAAAAAAAATCGATCTCGATTCTCTAGGGTTAAATATCGATTCACTAGATCGATTCAGTACTATATATCGATTTGACATTGACAGGTGAAACATCAAAAACGCAATTAATTTGTCATTTACCAATATTTTTAAAAAATAATTAAAAATACTTCGACGCTACTCCGGCAGAAAAAATCGAGTGAGGGTGCTTCAGATAAACCCCCTTGATTCCCCCACAGTGACAGAATCTTCAAATTCAGGCGTCCGAATTGTAAACCCAACCCCAGTTCTTAAAACAATTAAACATTTTATCTAAATATGTTTAATAGTCATAATGATTATTGTATAACCTAAAAATACGTTATCGTCCTTTCTTACTCGAGGCCACGCTAATCGTTAGTTCGTCAGTCTGTAGGCTTCTTTGTCTACGTTATAAGACATATATAACGTCTATAGATTTAGTATTATGGAGTGTAGAAGTAAGGAGTACCAACTCCCATAGTAGAATAGTTGAAAAAGTGGCCATTTGTAAGCAGTATATAACAGTTCAAAAACTGTCAAAAACTCTCCACAACAGCGTTGGAGTAGCTACTGGGATGAAATGAACTTAGCAGTTGTCGACGGTTTAAGTGTGCTGCTAAACTGCTCAGTACCTCTAAAATCTAAAATAGTTTTCGTGTCGTCTATCCCAATAATTTTCTTCGGTGCGTTCTTTAAAATTTATGTAGTTGTAGTGGCGCCACCCTTATTTAACGGTTTTCTATGGACACTTTTTAATACACAGTCTACTACTTCTACACTCCATATTTAGTATACATCTATGACTTTTTTTAAGCTTTTTTTCTCTACGATATATTTCAGTTGTCAATGTCAAGTTTGAGATTGAGAATCTCCGATAGAGAGTAATAGTGTTCTGTGTTGAGAATTTGAGAGAGTCAAAGCCAAGGAAATACTCTCTAACGTAGATCATTCTCAAGCTCATTCTCAAACTCAAACCAAGGAAGTGTATTTTTGGAGATATCGGTATCGGCTTTAGTTTTTTGGTAAGATAAGCAGATATGAATTAAAAGTTTTTTTCCAAATGCCAACCTCAATTGTAATCTGAACAAGCGTCAAGCTGCACAACAGTTTCAAGAACATTGTACGTTTCTATAGATCTATACTTTAAGCCATTGCTAATTGGAGCTTGGTCCCTGACAACCCCAAAAGTCGTTTGTACTGTACTTTGCTCTCTTTTGCCGTGTTATGGTTTTGGTGAGATATATATTACATATTTCACAGACTAATATTAGAGAGCAGCTGAGTAGAAACATTATAAGTTACTGAGTTCATTAACTGCTTGCTCATGCCCAGTAATGTGAGAATGGGGTAAGGTTTACAATTTAGTCGCATGAATTTGGGGTGGTGGTGGTGTGGGGGGAGGGGGAGGAGTTGAGCCTACTACCTACTTCTGAGTAGTTTATAAAAAAATAACCACGAGGGGGGATGGCGGGGTCTATTCGCTCGCTCACTCGACCCCGTCATCCCCTCCTAATCTAACCTGTCCGAGTCGGGGTGCCCCACATCCCAGACTCGCTTCGCTCGCTATTGCAGTCAATATAACACGAAAGTATTAACTTTTATAACTACTTTAATTTATAAACATAAATTATGGCTGCAACTGTTGTGAGAAAGGATCTGGGTTGTAAAGAAGGATCTTTGCGATATTTAGCAGTATTCCGCCATCACAAATTCCACAGTTCACAAAAATTCTGAAACTCGGAAGCATCAGCATGACGGCATGACATAAAGCTATCAACAAAATAGCCAGCCTGGCAATTAATTTTACACATTTTTAAATCAATTTGGATTGAAATTGGATGAATCGATTCACAAAAAATTCTAATCTAAAGGACCGATTTCGCAAAAATCAATCTTTTTTGATTTGCGTTAAGAGTTTATATTTACAATAGATAAGTTACAATAAGGTACAGATAATTAAACATAAAACATTAAATTGAAAAACTGTAATTCCATACAAGTTGGGGTACATTCAACTAATTGTAAATAATTTGATAGTTCCTAATAAAACAGAAAAAGAATCTTGATTCTCTAGGGTTAAATATTGATTCACTAGATCGATTCAGTACTATATGTATGTATATCAATGTGACATTGACAGATGTAACATCAAAAACGTGAGAATATTTCATTAAATAGTCATTTACAAATATTTTTAAAAAATAATTAAAAATACTTCAATGCTGCTCCGGCAGCACAAATTGTGTGGGGGTGCTTCAGATAAACCTCCTTGACCCCCCACAGTGGCAGAATCCTCAAATGCAAGCGACCTTATTGTAAACCCAACCCTGAGAATGGGCTAATCTTTTTAATTTTTTTATTGTAAAAGCACAGAGCACATAGTGCAACTGATGGTAAGTGTCTACTATGGGCCACATACATCTACATTTAAAAATCAAAATGCAGATGCATTGTCATTCTAAGTACTAAGGTGGAATGCCTCATTTCCAGTAAAAGGGTTCGCCAGTTTTCTACACTTACCTCAATTAAACACAGCATTAAGCTACTATTTTATGCTAGTATTTTGTGAGAGTGTGGTCTTTCCCTGGTTGAAATAACCAAATCATGCTAAAACCATAATTTAGCTATAGCATGGCTCTACCATGTTTAAACTTACATAATTTATTTTAGTACGTTGTAATGTAGTGATTACATTCCATAGTTATATATATCATGTGATGACTATAGAATATAATTAGAAGTAACTGAACTTTTCAGTTCAGTTTATATATTAGTGTATTTTCAGTTACAAATAAAAATTATAAAAAAGTATAAAAACAAAAATATTTCTTTCAAAACATTGTAAAGGTTTGAAAAAGGTTAAATGTTATGGCTAAAGAAGCATTGGGATTAGTTCTAAAAGTGTAAAAGCTTGGATGAAGTACAATCTACATTATCATTAAGATATAATCTGTCATTAACTTTGGCTTCTTACAGCATTAGTAGTTTCAACAGTTTGCCATGCTGTAAAACTATAGTAGACAATACTAACACAGCAAGTTCATGCATTTTGGTAATTTTCAACCGACTTCGAAAAAAGGAAGAGGTTCTTAATTCAACCGTTATTTATGTGCGTTAACTCAGAACTTTTTCTAGGTGAACCGATTTTGATGATTCTTTTTTTATTTGAAAGCTGATTCTCATGTGTGCTTTTCATGTGGCCCCATATAAACTTGATCAAGGTCTCACCAGTATTTTTTGAGTTATCCTTAATAATGCATATTTAAGACTTCAATTACATTGATGATGTTCTCATTTAATTTATATTGAAGTCGCTTGTACAACATTTTTAATTTTACCACTTGTTGAATAGCTACTCCTTGGTCCATCTACTTATTTGGACTTATGGACTTAGCGCAATAGCCACAGATCTATTGTGCTAGGTCAATAATCCCCTATATGACTTAAAATCCCTTTATTATATTGATGGTTTAATAAGACAGTGCATACATTGACATTGTTTCTGATGCTCATTCAGTATGTAAGCTGCATTCAACAGTATTCACATTAAAGGATTGTTATCACAGGATCAAAACTCATACATAGTTTTCTTATTTATATTATAAATCAAGATATATTTAAATGGTTGACCCTTTACTCTTTACTGTCTTTGATATATAAGCTTCTCATTTTGTTTCTGTAGATTAAAAGTTATGCAATTTACACAATACACAATAATGAGATGTAAACTTATTTATTTAGGACTGCTAAACTATATAACAGAGCTTCTAATTGATTTTTTACATAAAGTTTAGAAGCAAGAAAACAGATTAATTCTCTTATATGCTCATGGGATTCCTTATTTGGTTTACTATGCTTATAAAAAGCTTTTGTGTTTGTGCCTGATACATAGAAGCAATCTTGGTCAAAATAAAAACTTTTTGTGCAATTTTGAAGCTAGTTTATTCAACATTGCTTTGGTATGAAAAAGATTGTCAATTGTTACCATTTGGTGCAGCTTGAGCACTGCCTACATTCCCTGTGGATGACCATACATCTCTTTTAATTTTTGAGATGATTCTATAGAGGAAAGGAGTCTATCCGGCAGTTGTAATATAAAAATGCAGACTGTGTCCTCAAAAATTTTTGTTAAGTGTGCCTCAATCCGATATTAATGGATAATGTTAATTTGGGTGTGGATGTATTTCAATTGCCTTAGTTTCTTTAACACCGTTTCTGACCCTTGAACAAGCTTAAAGTTGACAGTCAGGTGTGTTATCAAGATAAAGGATAAAAAGTTGGCTTTGGCAGCAAAGAAAATGAAGAAAATCTATCAGAGATCTTATACCATGCTTTATTATAATATTAATTATCCAATCCAGTCATATTAGTATCAGATCAATCAATAAAATCAGTTAGTTGCACATGGTACAAATATTTGCCAAAACAAATTAGGTACCTACATTAACTTGAGCCATTTCGATTATCAATTTTCCTAAATTCTATGGATATTTTTATTATTGTTATGACAATTAATGATAAAGTCTAAAAACTTTACTCACAGATTATTTAAAATGGTAGGTAAGTATATTAAGTTTTGTTAAATTGTTACAGAAAAACTTGCGGAGTATTCAATGCCTTGAATTTTTTTTTAAAGATGGATAAAGAAGACACAATAATAGAAACTATTCGAGAATCCATAAAAGTTATCAGATTCAACAGGCCCCATAAGAAAAACTCTATTGATAAAAGCATGTATCTTCGGTTGACAAAAATCCTTAACGAGGCAGCTGCCAATGATAGCATTAGTATGGTAGTGCTTACTGGCACGGGTGACTTTTATAGCAGTGGCAATTATATTACGGCCGAAATTGATGATTCCTGGCTCAACATAATACGGAATTTTATTGAGTCATTTATAAAATTTCCAAAGTTACTTATTGCCATCGTCAACGGACCAGCAATTGGGATTGCCGCTACTACTTTGGCGCTTTGTGATTTGGTTTTTGCGTCCGAGAATGTAAATGTTTTAGATGTATTGTTAATTACTATTTCATTAAGCTTAATATTAAAAATTTGTATGGCAAGTGGCACAATTTTATGAGTTTGACCACATTCACACCAAGGTGAGGGCAACGACACTAATCCCGCTGTCCGATTCGTTCGTTTTTTGTTCAGTAGTCAGTTATTAGTGCAAGCACCTTTTAAATTCAAAGTTCTACTCGTGTAGTTAAAAAAATATACCACACAAACAACACCACCAAAATTGTGCAATGCTCAAAACTCATGCTCATAATGCATAGATCTTTAGCATATTGGTTACAATTTATAAGATACATCAGAAATATTTTTGTTATTTTACATGCAGATTATTTTGACCTGTGGGTGTCGTATGTGAAATGTCAGAAAGATCTTGGAGCCTAAAAGACTATTGCGGTCACTCCGATTGTAAGGAAGTTTTGCCTCAATAGTCACACGCGGCTGGCGTAACGAGATGGCTATACCGCAATATATCGGAACCTATAAGATTTTTTGGCTTTTCCCACTGTCTATATTATACACCCATGGGATTGAGACGAAATTCAGTAATGGTTTCTCTTACAACATCATCAAACGGATAAACAGGTATATTATGATATCTGGTACATGCCATACGTAAAATACTGGTTTATTGCGATCAACAAATTGCTATGTGTGGCGATAAGACGCTTGTTTAATGGTAGGCTGTTACGATCTGATGATTGAGAAAATTTTGAACATTAAAAGCAGTAATCTGATGATCAAGATGTTAGTATTGTCGTATAGAATTATATTAGCAAATATCAATTCTGCAAGATAACACAATATTAAGTATAGTGCCCAAAGTAGTTATGCGCAAACAGCCACGCACTAGTCCAAACCTACATAACTTATGTAACTCTTGACTGATAAGATCGGATCAGTCCTTTTTTTATTGAATAAGGGTGACAAACGAGTATACAGTCCACGTGATGGTAAGTCGATGCTGTGTGGCCTATGAACATTTACACTTATCCTTGATTAAGGATCAAAATACAGATACATTGTCACCTCTGAGGACTAAGATGGAATGCCTTGTTTCCAGTAAAAAGGGTCTCCAGTTCTCTACACTCACCATACGAAACAGAAGTATTGTGTTGCCATTTTACGTTGGTATTCTGTGAGATCGATCCTTAGACGGTTGAGCCGAACTACTCGTGCTACAACCATAATATAACTGCAGCATGGCTCTACCACGCTAGACAGCCTATACTTGAAAGCTGTCTCAGAGAGCGATATTCACAACACATTCTGACTTGAGCTTTAGTGCTTTTGCACAAACCTAATATTTAAGTGTCGAAATTTTATGCGATACTTAAATATTATATATGTAACACTTAAACTATAAGATCGAATGTCATAAAATAAAATGCAGTGTCAGACATTTGGGGATGATCACAAAACATTCTGACCAGTGAACCATCAATGTGTGTTATTTTCGCCAATGCTCAATTAAGATTCGAAAACAGAACTGAAGGAGTATGTAGTGACTATACATACTATTTAACATTGACTATTATTTGTTAAACAATTTGCGATCGTTAATCAATTATTAGTCAACAAAGGATAATTTTTTTATCTTGCAATGTTTTATTTAAGTGTTTGTCAGTTAATCTGGATGCCTTTATGAATAAGTTTTAATTTATTGCAGGCTTATTTTTACACGCCATTCTCGAAATTGTATATGACTGCAGAAGGTGCATCTACATTCACTTTTCCGAGGTTAATGGGCCAAAGAAAGGTAGTCTCGAATTTAATAACTACGCTAATGTTTTTAAATTTGATGTTTTCTATTCAACACATTTTTATTTTGTAAAGTACAGTTCAGTGAATGGAAAGTTAAAAAATACCTACACTAGTTTAAATCTCTCTATACTACTATATCTGTAGTCCAATTTTAAAATGAGTCGCAGTTGCCCGTGACCTGCAGTAGCCATTACTGTCAGGTGAACTGCTACTCGTAAATTGTTTATCATTCGTGTTTTATAAAAAAAATACTTATTCATGAAGCGCATTAGAAGTATTTTTTATAGGAGAGAAGAAAACTTCTTTTAAATCGCACAAACCGCCAGTCATCCAGATGGTATGGATGGTATCGCGAGTTTTGTCGCGATCTGTGATGGTGAAATTGTGCGGCCCTTGGGATAAAATACGTAAAGGGATGCAGTTTTTATAAACCAATTTGGCCTTCTCTTTCAAGTGACCACAAAACTGCAATTCAATCGATATGTCGACATCGAGGATTCTGATACTGGCTAAGACAACAAGAGGAGTGCCTTGAAAGTGAGGAGATACGACGAAGGGGTTCTTTTCAGCGGTAAATGCGCAGACTTGTTTCTTTTGGGGCTTGAATTGGACTAGATTTAGTCGCCCCCAGTCTGAGACTTTGTACAGTGAAGAATCGACTTTAGATGCAAGTTTGTTTCGGTACTCGACGGCGTTTTCCCAGAAATATTGGTACGGTCGGTGTATATAGCATCACGAGTGCTGTCGTCTGTATAGCAATGAATGTTACCGGTTTGCAAATTTATTATTGATATGCAGAAGAAACAGCATTGGTGATAACACGCAGCCTTGTGGAACACCAGCGTTAATGGTCTTGTAATCGGAGCATGCACCGTCTATTACGACCTTGCTGCTCCGATCTGCAAGAAAACTGGTGATCCAATTGCACAATTTCTGAGAAGCCAAATCCGATCGAAGGCCTTCGCTATGTTCAAACTAACGGCCAACGCCTCCCCCTTGGACACTACTACCTCCGCCTATCTATGAGTTAGGTAACCTAGGAGATCACCAGTTGAGCGACCCCGACGGAAACCGTACTGATGATCACTAATCAGCTGGTGATCCTCAAGGTACCTGATGAACTGGCAGTTAATAATTGTTTCCATTATATTGGATAACTAGGAGGTGATAGCGATAGGCCTGTAGTTGGGCAAATCTGAGCGGTCCATGAGTTCGGGACTACGCCTTGTGAGTTATAGCACCGAAAAAGATGCGTTAAAACCGGTGCCAACTCCACAGCACACGTCAGCACAATACGAGGAACACCATTAGGCCCACTCGACTTGTTAAAGTCCAGGGAAAGGAGTGTTTAACGCACCGAGCGCTGGGTAAACAGAACATAGTCGGCAGTGTGTTCCCCCCGTTGTCAAGAGTCGAGTTGGATGCAAAGAGAGACCCTAGTAGATCGGCTTTGTCCTTTGCGGCATGGGCCAGTGAGTCGTCCGCTCTGTGCAGAGATAGAAGAGATGGGTGACAGGAATTCCCTTGGAGAGCCTTGGAGAGAGATCAGAATGCACGTGTTTCCGAAGGAAGTCGAACTAGTTTCAACTAGCTACTACTACTACTAGCTACTAGCTAGAACTAGCTTCTTCTAAGAGCGCTGGTATTTGCATCCCGATACGTCGATGCGTCAACTTAGGCCCGGTAGCACTCCTACTTATGGCGTGATGCAATTTTGCAGGAGTGACCACACCATGGCTGGGTTCTGTCTCTGATATCTCAGAAGATGGAATAAAATGTTCCATTCTCTGCAGCACTACAACAGCGACAGAATCAGCAACAACGCTGAGATTATCCGGCGAAAAGCAAACCCAAGGGTAGGATTTTTTTTTAATAAGATAGGGTGACAAACGAGCACACAGTACACCTGATGGTAAGTTATTGCAATGGCCCATAGACATCTACATCTATCCTCGATAACGAATCAAAATGCAGATGCGTTGTCACCCATGAGAACCAAGATGGAATGCCTCGTTTCCAGTAAAAAGGGTCTCCGGTTCTCTACAATCACCATACGAAACACAGCAGCATGAAGCTACTATTTTACGCTGGTATTCTGTGAGAGTGTGGTTCATACCCGATCGAGCCGACCCATTCGTGCTACAACTATGCTACTAATATAACTGCAGCATGGCTCTACCACGTACAATATAATATAATATAATGCAAAAAAAGATCATCCCGTCCCAATCGGCTGACCTATAGTGCCAAACACAGCAGCAACCTGCAGAACTCAACCGCGATGGGAGCACTGTACCCCGGATCAGAAATTGGCCCGAGGAGCCAAGAGAACTGATATCCATCTGGATGAGAGGTCAGCGGAAGGTCTAACAGGGAAGGAAATGATCTTCCACATTTGTGATCCGCGTAGGCGAGGTAACCAGTTGTGTCGGACCATATGCCAGATGAGAGATAAATAGTATGAGAGATAAGAAATGTGTGGCAGGGGGCGCCTTTGTCTTATTGCTCCGTTTGCCCCGAGCAGGTTTAGTCTCGTGCGAAATCCCCCCCCCCCCCCAGAATACGCGGTTCAGCCTGAGCACCCACGCTCAGGAAGGGTAAGGTAGCTTCCTAGGGTAGCATTTCAGACGAAATGCAGAAGCAGAGGTTCTACTTCACGCTGGTCTTCTGTGAGGTTGTGGTACCACCCCGGTTAGAGCCGGTCCATACGTGCAATAGCAAAAGCTGCCGCGTGGCTCTATCACTGTTACAACATATCGCTAAATTAAAAATCATAAATGCAAACCAACAGCAAGAGCGAGACACAGGGCAGGACCTGCTGCTGCTGCCTGCACCCTGCATCCTGCAGTTCTTATACTGTTTGAACGTATGAGGGTGTTATAACTCTTATTAGTAAATTCTTTGAATCAGATTTGAAAACGTAAACATCCAATTGGCTAATGATTTCGTACATTTACAGAAATAGTCTTGACCATGCACTCTAAAGTACCCGAAACGCCAGAAATTAAAATTAGTAAAAATGAGTTAAATTAAACGCGATAAAATTTGTAAAATTAATTTAAAAGGCTTTTTGTTTTAGGCGACTGAAATGTTACTTTTTGATCACAAAATGTCAGCGAAAGAAGGGCTAGAATATGGATTCATCAATCGTGTCTACAAACCGGAAGAATTACAAAGTAAATCTTGGGACAAGATCATGGAGATATCAAAACTACCTGCTCATTCAATACTCGCCACTAAAAACTTGTTAAGGAGAGCGTATTATGACGATCTGCTGAAAACAAACGAAGTTGAAATAGAAGCGTTGAAAAGAATTGCGTATCAAATAAAGAGTAACTTATAATTAAAATTTTTTATTCAGAGTAGGATTTTTTTATTCTATAAAACCTAATGGCGCCTCCAGACTCACGCCGAGAAGCCCTGAGAACACCCGAAAAGCGTGAATGTCATAGGTTTCTCGTTTCTCCCCTTTGAGGGTTTGAGGGGGAGAAAAGAGAACGGCATCACATTCTTGTTCAGTCTTGGTGCGACCGGGGCATTATTAGCATGTGTGCATATTTTTTTACTAAAACCATACAGTATTACTAGGTTATGTGTAGGTCGTTCACAACGCGTGGATTAATCGTGGGATTTACGTGTTAAAAATGTGTCTGTATGAAAATGTTCTATGTACTTTAATTCTAATAACGAATTAGAATTGTACTAGGAATGTACTTTACATAGAACATTTTCATACAGAGCCCATTTTGTGGGATTCAAACACCGACGTTACAAAGACAAAAGTCTAAAGTAAGATAAATAAAAGAAAAAATAATACGTTGTGGTGGGATGATGAGGTACGGGTGGAAGTTGAAGCAAGGAAGAAAGCATGGTTAGATTAACTAGCAATCATGCTGGTAATTCTGGCGGCATGAATGATGATATTGAAAGAAAAAAGGCAGAATTTAGACGTCTAAATAAGATAGTAAAAGAAGTACTTAGTTGATAGGAAAAAGCAAAAAAGAACGAATAAGAATGATAGGGATGCAAATACCTATTATAGAAGATATAACATAGAAGGATATCTGATAACTTCCAGGCTAATATTAAAATGTTCTGGAAACTCGTAAGAACTGCCAGAGGAAATTCAAAACAGCCTAGAATGAATGTTATACGAGACAAAAACGGATGTATTCTGAGTGACGAAGCTTCGAATTTAAGGAGATGGAAGGAATACTTTGAAAGCGTATTTATGAGTGAAGAGTCGTCTGAATTAAATGAACTAGAAATTCCGAGAGAAGTGGGTATGGAGATAAATATAGATGAAATAATGAAAACAATGAAAAGTATAAAAGCAGGTAAGGCAGCTGGATATGATAGAGTGTCACTCGAGATGCTAAGGGCTGGAGAGGGAGTGGTGGCAGACCTGCTGTAGACCTGGATTAGCACCTTGTTTAATTTATGTTGGGAATTGAAACTGGTACCGGAAGACTGATGTAAAGCAGTTATAGTACCAATATATAAAGGAAAAGGGTCACAGCAGGACTGCAAAAACTACGGTGGTATCAACTTGCTTAGTATTGTGGGTAAACTGTATGCTAAGGTGTTAAATGAAAGAGTTATGAAATACACTGATGGAAAAAATTGGAATGTGCAAGCGGGATTTAGAAAGGGAATGGGGTGTACAGATCGAGTCTTCCATGCGCATGATTGCGAAGAAGTTTATGGCCAAAAACCAGAAAAATTTTTGTGCGTTCATGGACTTGGAAAAGGCTTATGACTGAGTCGACAGGACTGTGTTATGGCAAACACTGAACTCATTTGGGTTGGGGTTGAGCGTTGGTTTGATACAGGAATTAAGGTCTCTTTATAGGGAATCTAGTGCTTGTGTCAGGATCAAAGGGGTATACTCTGACCGGTTTGGCATCCAAAAAGGTATCAGACAGGGCTGTGTAGCTTTCCCTTAGCTGTTCAACCTATTTATGGACAGTTGTTTGCAAACTTTGAAAGATAAAGAATATGGGTTAAGAATAAATTAACCGTCAAATGCCTTTTGTACGCCGATGATCAAGTCATATTTGCGTCGTCGGCGGCTGAGTTGCAAATGATGGTTTCTTAACTTTTTGATATAGGTATAGGCAGGCCTCTGTCACTCTTGCTACCTGAGTGAAATAATTACCTACAATCGCGAGGCACCCAGGGTAACACGCAGTCAGGGCCAGCGCGTTGTAGGCGATTAAATGTAACGCTGTTTACGTAAATAGTTTTTTGTAAATACTTGTTGAAATAGTTTTTGTTTAGTGTTAAGTATATTTAATTGTAGGATAAATTAGTTGAAAAAGTTTTAATGTAATTTAAAATTTTTATATAATATGTAATGTGTATTAGGCCTATTTTAGGGTGTTAAACGTCGGCAAGCAGTCAACATCAAAGGAGTGCAACTTCTGTACGTAGTACTATGTATTATTTATTCTGTGGTATCGTGGACTACGTTTTACCGATACAAACAACTAGATGGCGTTCGTAGTTTTCTTGTAATAATGAGGGATCATCTCGTGTACATTTCCCCTAATATTGATTTGATTTTGTTATTATTATCCATTTAAGCGATTTGATAACTACGGAATTATTTAAACCTTTTATCGATACAAACAACTAGATGGCCTTCGTAGTTTTCTTGTAATAATGAGGGACCATCTCGTATACAATTTCCCTAATGTTGATTTGATTTTGTTATTATTATCCATTTACCTAAGCGATTTGATAACTACGGAATTATTTAAAAAAAAACTGAAATGTAGTTAAAAGAATAAAAGTATTGTAATATTATATTAAACTCTAAAACTTTTAAAGGATTACCTCTCTGACAGGACAAAGATTGTAAGGATAGGTCAATACAGTAGTAGCTATACAAATGTTAATTATGGTGTACCGCAGGGAAGCGTACTCGGCCCTACGTTATTCTTAGTGTATATTAATAATCTGTGTAGTATGAGTGTGAATAGAGGAAGAGTTTTCTCATACGCAGATGACACTGCGATATAATTTTGGGGAGACACTTGGGAAGAAGTACAATTGGTAGCGGAAAAACAATTAGCTAAGGTTGCTCGTTGGCTTGATAATAACTTACTTACTTTGAATGTTAATAAAACTCAATTCATATGTTTTTCTATAACTAGCCGATTACAGCCAAAAGGTGATTTTAGACTTAAAATACATAAATGTTACAATTCTTCAAGCGGTAACTGTACGTGTACATCTATTGAAAAAGTTTCATACATAAAATATCTGGGCATTATGGTGGATCAACGACTTTCCTGTTACAAACATGTCGAATTAGTGTCTAGTAGAATTCGAAAACTCACTTGGATATTTAAAACTTTAAGATATGTTGCTTGTCCAGACCTTTTAAATCAAATTTATGTAGCGCTTGCTCAATCTATAATAATATATTGTATACCTATTTCGGGGGGTACTTATAAAAGTAAATTTATTGAAGTTGAGAGAGCTCAAAAATGTTTATTGAAAGTTATACATTTTAAGCCATATAGGTTCCCCACTAGCATTTTGTATTCATCTTGTGATTGTGATTGTGTGATTGTGAGGGTGATTTCGGTGAGGCAGTTGTACGAGGGTGGATTGAAAAGTACGCGGCCTAACCAAGAAAATAAACACATACTAAATCAGTTATATTTTTATTTTTCTACATAATCACCATCAAGTTCAATACACTTTTGCCACCTCCCCTTCCAAGCATTTAGACCGTTGAAAAAAAAATGATTCTTCCTTAGAGTCAAAATATACGTCTACAGCTGCTTTGACCTCGTCGTTTGTCGAAAATCTTTGACCTCCCAAGTGCTTTTTTAGGTTAGGGAACAGAAAGAAGTCTGATGGTGCCAGATCAGGTGAATACGGCGGATGCGGTAACAGTTCAAAGCCACAGTTGTGAATTTCAGCCATTGACTGTACTGACGTGTGAACACGGGCGTTATCTTGATGAAACAGTACTTTTCTTCTGAGCATTCCTCGACGTTTTTCTTTTATTTCCTCTCGGAAACGACGTAATAAGGTGCAGTAGTAATCAGAGTTTATAGTCTGACCCCTTTCAAGATAATCAATCATAATCACAACTTTCGAGTCCCAGAATACTGAAGCCATCACCTTATTTGCCGACAAAATCGACTTAGCCTTTTTAGGGGGTGGTGAACCAGGTCTTCTCCACTGTTTTGATTGTTGTTTTGTTTCCGGTGTACAGTAATGAACCCATGTTTCGTCCATAGTAACAAAACGATTCAAAAAATCATCTGCATCGGCTTCAAATAACTCCAAACAGTCGCGTGAAATAGTCAATCGCGTCCTTTTTTGTTCAACTGAAAGCAGTCGCGGAACCCACCTCGCAGACACCTTGTGGAAACCCAACTCGTTGACAATGATGTTTTGAGTTCGTTCATAAGAGATGCCTATAATCTCGGCTATCTCTCTAATTTTAATCTGCGGTCTCCCATTATTAAATCAAGTACTTTTTTAATATTTTCGTCAGTAGTTGACGTCGAAGGCCTTCCAGAGCGGGGTTCATCTTTCACACTCTCTCTACCACGCTTAAATTCTGCTATCCATTTTTTGACGGATGAATATGACAGAGCACAATCGCCTGATGTACTGACCATGTCATCATGGATGGCTTTTGATGATAGCCCCTTCTTATGGAGGTACTTAATGACGGCACGCTGCTCGATTTGCTCCATTCGCGGAAATTATGTCCGATTACTTTGTTAATAAATTTATAAAATCACAACTAATTATCGCACACGTTTCGAACTTCACACAATGAACTAGTCTGAACTGAACTAAATAATGTGGGTAGATTTGATTTTTAGAATTGAATGGATCTGTGTTAGGCCGAGTACTTTTCAATCTACCCTCGTACATATTACTCACTTTGTTAAAAAAACATAAGTCTGTTTTAATCCTACTTACGGTAGAAAAAGAAGAAATTATAGTGTAGTTCCTATATGCAGTACGAAAACCAACTTTGCGAAAAATCAATATGAAAAACGATCAGAACACTTATATAATCAAATTAATAAAATATTGCAAACATATCCTTTAAAGACATACGATTGAAAGAAAAAAAATAATGCAGTGGCTTAAGACACTTAATTACGATCAAACTGAAGCCTTATTAGAATTTATCCTATAAATGCATTCACTCACTGTCTTTTTCTCTTACGTACACACGTACATACCCACACAAACACACACACACACACACACACACACACACACACACACACACACACACACACACACACACACACACACACACACACACACACACACACACACACACACACACACACACAC